TTTTTCACATTCTGTCTCTCACAGTTGAAGTGTACCTCTGGTGCAAATTACTGACCTCTGTCATCATTTTAGGTGGGGGAACTTGCTGACTAAATACTTAGTTCAGCCCCCGAACTGATTTAAGTGGATGATAGGTTAAGAATTACTTAGTCAAACTGGTGTGTAGAACAGTTCATTCAAAACCTAAAAAGTAAGAGTACTCAAAACAGTAAGTATAAGTCAGCAAGATGAGGACAACAAGCAAGGTAGGAACAAAAAACGAATAAAATGAAGGGGGGAAACCTTAAGGCATTAAAGCTTAAACAACACATCCATGACAGGTTATTTTAATCACGTAAAGCTCTAAATAGGACAGTTTACTGGAAGAGAAATACCAGCATAAATGTGACTTTTTATTAATCACCAATGGAAACTATAGTAATTTACTGTATCTACACATTTCATATGTTCAGACAAGACCTTAGCTTAAATAAAAGATATTTTAATAAACATAAACTTACAAAACATGAACAGAGAAAGTTCATGATGCGGGATGGAGCCAAAAAGAGTGCAACATTATATCCTCATCATCTTAGAGCCTAAGAACCCTCAGATGAGCTGCATCAGCTGATGACCCCCCTTAATTTTTAGCATGAGGATCAACAAGGAAACACTCCCAGTACAGAGGGATGATGAGTGTCATGATATTCACTAATAATTTGGTGATAAATATAAGCAAACAGTGTTTTACTTTACACATTAACACTTCAGCTTTACTTGTGAACTGAGTGCTCCAGGTAAGGAAAGGTTAGGCTGAGGTCAGTGTGGCCAGACATGCTCCATCTACAGCCTTGGTAAGATAACAGATTCTCTGTGAGCCTGAACGCCACTGAGGCAGAAACAGACATATAAACTACTGCAGCGTAAAGTAAAGGGTCATCCTGGCCAACTACTACAACACTGGAGGCGAAAGGCTTGGCATGGTGGTGGATGGAGGTGGCAGAAATGTGTGAGTTCAAGTGTGTGCGTACAAAAAGAAGAAAAAACTTATCCCATAAGTGGATCCTCCAGGGCAGAGGCTGTGTGTTTCCATGAATTTAAAACACAGTATATGGGGAAATGTGTGTGTGTGTGTGTGTGTGTGTGTGTGTGTGTGTGTGTGTGTGTGTGTGTGTGTGTGTGTGTGTGTGTTGTGAGCCTTACCCTTTAGGTGGATCTTATTTTCCGGGCTGTGCACCAACACCGAGCTAACTGAATCCAAGCTGTCGTAGTTACTGCAGCCGAGAGGGCCTGTCCTTGTTTCGGTTACCTAGGAAATACAGGAGGGATAGCTCTGTTTACTTCAACAGCTACCTCATCCACTAAATAGTGGATGAGGTAGCTGTTTGTTTCTCTTTCTGGCAGTCATGTACACAGCTGTAGCAGGTGAAGTGTGTGAAGGCAGGCAGAATACTGGATGTGGCAGAGCCCTCTGACAGCAGAGAAACTGTCACCATCTTTGGCTTCACTCGTACACCTGCAGACACAGCTGTGTGCAACGTGAGGGCTTTCTTCAAAGAATGGTGGAAAATATGTGAAGAAAAGTAAAAAGTTAACAGACGCAGATACTTGTGAAGGACTCACAAAATCAAATATTGAAAGGTAGGCTGTTAAGCAGCTGTTTTTAGTAGAGGCAATAAGCATGGTAATGACCACTTTTACATGTTAGTGTTCTTAAATCATCAAAATCTGCAAATTTCTTAAATATTACACTAAGATGTTTATTACTTTTATGACTATAATTATTCCTATTAGCAGAAATCATGATATTTGTTGTTCCATTGAATTATTACAAATGCATCTTACTTAAAATGTTCATATAATCTGCTGATTTGTTTGAGCCTATGTTTTTATCACAGCGTCACAGACAGGATTGCTTTGCCCAAACCCCACAAATTTAACAATATGTCTGTAATTCTACTTCATTATTAATTTTAGATACTTTGTGGTATGTATTTAAGAATATTTACCATGTAGTCTCTCTTATTATTAGGGTTTAAAAACATATTTCTATTCACAAGTTAAAATAAATAAATACATATAATTTATCGTGGCTTTAGAATAACTGTGAAACACATTTCCCTTAAGATTCAAGGCAGCAGGCTTTAGACAGCTGAAATGTTTAAGTGTGACCAATGATAATGCTGCATCTGTTACAGCAGCAAAACACTCAAGAGATAACATGCAAGAACTGTAATTTTAAGTAAACCTTGGAGCGGTTTAAATACAAGGCACTGGTAGTGCTCCACCCTCTCCACCCGTCTTATTCTGAGGCTGTAAAATGGCCATTCATAAACCAAATGCTGACATCATCTTCCAACATAAGATACTTTTGCTACACTACAAGAAATTAAGAATCAAGAATCATACTCTTCTTTTTTTATATTATCTTTATGCACCACTTCACACAACCTTACACTCTGTCGAGAAAATAAAGACAACTATTACTGATGCAAACATTATTTTTTTAAAAATCGCTTATATAACATGTAGATAAAGAAATACTCTCCAGTGTGTATTGTATTTGATTCAAAGGTTTCTTTAAAATGCTAGCAGCATCAAAGTACAGGTATTGTGCATTGAAGTCAGATGCTTAGATAGAAGTTCTAACTGGTCATTTCTAGATCCAGCATCTCCTTAGCAGTAAAAGTATAGTTACAACTTAAAAACTATGGATTAATCTCCTTCACGTAAGCCTTTGTTGTAAACTAATTACACTCATGTAGTGGTCAATCAAAGATAAGCTAGTGGCTATTTCCTGGCTATTGTCGACAATTCCAGCACACTGTAAAAAAAAAAAATCCCCTTCTTTTGGTATGAATATACAACATCATCACTGAACAAAAATATTATAGGGACTTGTTGATTGCAAGCGATGATGACAAGTGATCATACAATACAAAGCTGGCTAGCTGCGCTGGAGTACCAGTGCAACAGTCACAGAACTGAACTGAAAATTTCTTCCATACAAGATGCAAAAAAAGTAAATTGTAATAGTACAATTTAGTTTTTAAAAATATATAAATTGAAGCTGAATATTAGTGGTTTTGAAAGAGATGTAATGGAAATTATGATATGTTGACAATATTGTTGTTGTGACATGAACAGAGGGTGAAGAGAAAAGGTGCACACAGAGCAATGAGTGTAAACAGAAAAAAGTCACATAAGCGTGACAGATGGAACAAAAGGGATAAGACACAAGAAAGAAAAGAAAATACTGTAAAAAATTAAGCAAACATTATTTTGCAGATATCGCACACAGTTCATTTTCCCAAGCAGTTGTTCAAAATAGAACGTAACAATATGGACATGTCCTCTGGCAAAACCATTCTGCAGCTAAATCAGGCCATTTGGCAAATAAGGTAGCCTGTGCAAATTTGCTGTCCTTAACACAGCCCTGTGCCTTACATCTCCACACTCTGCCTTGCATTAAGATTGGATCTAATATCAAAAGAAATAGAAGTTACCCTTGAAGGCGCTACAGGAGATACACATCTCAAACATCACTCAAATAACCAACTAAAAAACCAGACACTGCTGAGATGAAGTCAAAGATAAGCTACAGATAAAGGCTAGCAACAAGGAAAGATTAGTGAAGGAGGACGGGGCTGTTTGGGGATGTTGTTTCAGCCACACATACCACTGATAATCCCTGCCTTAAAAAGAAACCAAAAGAAACCTGTTGCATCTCATTCATGTTTTGGAATTGGCTGTGTAACATAATCCCTTGGGTTTTTCTTTGTTCACATTAAACTCTACCTCATAGGGTGCGCTCAAAGTCTGTGAAGTCGGATAAATTTTATGATTCCACAAAACCAAAGCAGTTTGTATTTTTTTAATAAATTGCATGCAGTTAAAATTAAAAGCCTGCAGAATGTGCACAGTGGTTATGAAAAGGTACAAAAATGATCAGGGTAGGATAACTATTTTGCAGGTATTTGGCTGGAGTAAGAGAAATATACTACTAACCAAACAGTGCATGTTTTTCCTTTTATTTGTTGTATTTTCGAGGTTATCCTCTGAATCTGTTAGCCAACAAATGATTCTGAATTGGATTTGGATAAGTGGTTAAGAAAGTGGATGGATTGATGGATAGATGGATGGACGGATGGATGGATGGACGGATGCATGGACGGATGGATGGACAGATGGAAGGCATTTCCCTTTTTTGTGTTAGTCTCTTTGTTTTCACTTCCTCTTTCTTTCTGATGACATCATTCTTCTTCCTGTGTGATTTTTTTGTCCCACGCTGACTCACCTTTGTTAAGTTCCATTCTCTGTATATACATACTGTAGTCTTGCATCGCCTTTATCAAGCTGCCAGTCTGTGTACTTCCACCTGCTGGGTGAGTTCTTTGTTAACTCGTTCTAGTTTCAAAGTGGATCCCTGGGGTTTTTCTTTTTGGACCGTCCTTTATTTTTGGACCTTGCTAATTATTAACGGGTCTTTCTCTTGTACTTCACCTACTATAATTTTCTCTCTTATGTACACTAAAAAAAAATCCATCACTTGTGTTATCCCAATAAAACACTTTACTACACCCAGCAGGAATATAAAGGAATACACGCTGCTTAGTGGGGTTCTTTGTGACCCTCAATCTCAACAAAGGAAGTGGAGACAGCAAACACAGCATGACTCACAGAACCACAACTACCACACTGAGGAAAGATTCATATAATAAATATAAAAAACGAGACTAAAGATGGACCAGTTTAGCTTAAGAGGAGAAGTTAGAGCAGGTATTTCTAAATAATTTAGTTCATAATTTGGAATTTCCAGCTGTAGCACAGTCAAGAGGTCACATTCTTAGGCAAGAAAATACTGCCAAATTGTTCCACTGTGGACCCAGTTTAACAGTTTGTTAGTCTTTTATATTTTGTGAAACTGAAACCGTCTGTTTCACATTTTTTTAATATCTCAATGTGTCAACTCTTGATCAGTTTTAAAGGATTGCAGTGCAAGGTATTTTTTATGGCTACCATTTACAGGTGTACATTAAACACGTCTCATGCCAGCAAGCTACTGTTAGTAAAAGAAGGCAGCACTGACTGAACTGTATCTGTTCAAAATATGAAAACCTGCTGAAAGCAGAAGTAGATTATTGTATTTTTAAATCTCCCAAACTTTAAAGAGCATATGTTGTATTGATACCAACACTATTTAGTGCAAGAACTTTGAAGATTTTTCATTTTTCATGCCATGTTTGAATGCAGAATGAACTGTGAGATCAATACAGCTCGGTAAGTTTTGTTGTAGCAACAAACAAATTCAAACATGTAATACAGATTGTGTAAGAAGCATTAAGTTTGATCATTATTCTTCATGAAGAAAACTAAAGGTTTTAGCCACTTTTCAAGCCCATGGAGAGTGACGGTTTAATACTCAAAACCAACTGCACAATTATCACTATAATGTAACAATTTCATACATCTTTTTTCAAATTATCTACAGCGATTTTTATTATCATGATTTATTTCCTTAAGGTCTACATAAATTGTGTTCTCTGTCTGTTGAAATGATAAATGCATCAGAACTCTCAGCTGTGTTGCAGTGAATACACACCAGGCTGTTTTGTAACTCCTGTGAGGAACTTCAATAATAACCCACCTGAGAGCTGCCACCCTGCCTCTGCTTTTGTTTCAAACTCCCAAGAGCCCTTCAGTGAGTGGATCATTCAAACTAGACCACTTTGTCTTTTGTGTTTACTCAATAACATGCATTGTTCAAACATAGCAGAGTAGTGTGTGTTTTCCTATGATCCTAGAAAGTTTTGTATGGATTGTGTGAGATCAAGTAATGCATTGCTGTTTGTTTCACTCAGCTTATTATGGCTGATGATCTAACAAACTGCTGTTTATACTCTTGTGTACCTTTAACCTCTTTATTGATAAAACAGGTTTTATTTTACATCAAATACTTTTCAGCTTTCTTATTAAGTGCACATTTGTTCAGAGTGAAATATATATTTATGCAGGCTTTGCATTGATACCATTCGTGCCCTGCATCTTAATCATATTTGAAGTTACCTCAAAGTAATGAATGCAATGAAAACCTGAGAACACTTGGATAGAAGAACATTAGTACTGCTTGATCTCTGGATGTTTTAACAGCCCTGATTAGTCATTATTAGTTATTAAAAGTATCTAGAATAATTCCTAAATATACAACAGTGCCTTGTTCATTTTTCACCTCATTTGGGACATGTTTTTATCATTGTGAAACTGGCTTGTTCCATCGCATATGAACTAGAGGACTCACTACTTTGGAAG